TCATGGCTGCCATCCTCACCCCTGACCGACAATGGTCTGCTTTGTGAGTAAGAAGTTTTCTTGTCGTGCACGGTGGCTCACGTCTATACTCCCAGCACTTTGGGAGGCTGAGGAGAGAGGATTGCCTGAGCCCATGGGTTTGAGACCAGGCTGGGCAACCTGGCGAGACCTCGTCTCTACAATAAATAAAATATTAGCTGGGCTTGGTGGCACGCGCCTGTAGTTCAGCTACTTGGAAGAGTGAGGTGGAAGGATCACCTGAGCCCAGCAGGTCAAGGCTGCAGTGGCCGTGAGCATGCCACTGCACTCTAGTCTAGGCGATAGAGTGAGACCCAACTCAAAAAAAAAAAGGTTTTCAGCCGGGCTCGGTGGCTCAGCCTGTAATCCCACGCTTTGGGAGGCCAAGGTGAGTGAATGGCCTGAGTCTGTGGGTTCAAGACCTGCCTGGGCAACTTGGTGAGACCTCATCTCTACAATAAATAAAAAAAACTAGCCAGGCATGGTAGTGCACGCCTGTAGTTCCAGTTACTTGGAAGGCTGAGGCGAAGGATCGCTGAAGTGGCCACTGCACTCCAGTCTGGGTGACAGAATGAGACTCCAACTCATTAAAAAAAAAAAGAAAGAAATTGATTTTAGCCGGGCTTGGTGGCTCAGCCTGTAATCCTGCGCCTTGGGAGGCTGAGGTGAGTGGATTGCCTGAGCCCTCGGGTTCAAGACTCGCCTGGGCAACTTGGCAAGACCTCATCTCTACAATAAGTCAAAAAATTAGCCGGGCGGGTAGCGTGCACCTGTAGTTCCGGCTACTCGGAAGGCTGAGGCGGAAGGATCACCGGAGCCCGGCAGGTCGAGGCTGCAGTGGCTGGGAGCATGCCACTTGCACTCCAGTCTGGGCGACAGAGTGAGACTCCAACTCAGAAAAACAAAACAAAAACAAAAACAACAACAAAAATAAGGTTTTCTTGTGCTGACTTAAACCAGGGCAGCGGATAATACTTACCCTAATGAGCACATGGAATCTTCCTCCTTTCCCATGTTTAGTGAGGGCTTGAGTCAGGACTGGTTCCGGGTGGGTTACTTCAGAGTGCACAATCTTCATGAACCCCAGACTGTCCTGCCTTTCTAGAATTCTCTATCAGACAGTCTGTCTTGACTATTCTAGGACTGGCCTGAGACAAGGCAGGAGAGGAATTTTTTTTTTTTCAAGTTGAGGTCTTACTTTGTCACCCAGGCTGGAATGCAGTGGCATGATCGTGGCTGATTACAACCTTGAGCTCCTCAGCTAGTCCATCCTCCTGCCTCAGCCCCCTGAGTCGCTGGGACTGCGGGCACAAGTCACCACACCTGGCTAATTAAAAAAAAATTTTTTTTTGTAGAGACGTCTCTCTATGTTACTCAGACTGGTCTCGAACTCCTGGCCTCAGGCACTCCTCTCACCTTGACCTCCCAAAGTGCTGGGATTACAGGTGTGAGCCACCGTGCCTGGCTGACTTTTCACCCCGGGCTGTTTCCTTCCCTCATACCATGTGTTTGTATCATGTCTAGCAATGGACTGGGCTGGCCTGGCTATAACTGAAAACTCATGGATAATTCAACGAAGGTTGGGCCAAAAAACCAGAGTTCCAGGATCCAATGAAATTTTGGTGACTTATTCCCTTTGTGACACACTATGTGCTCACCCCTTTGGATCTACCTGCCCCCCAGGAGACTGGGGCAGGGAGTCTCTGGGCTGAGCGACCCCCTAAGATTCTGACCTGGCATCCACTTTCTGTCTTGGTGGTCCCTGACTGCATCTATCCCGGGGAGACACAACACGCTGGTCCCCTTGAAGCTCCCACTGAACCAGAATTGGAGTCATCCTCATGGCCTGTTGGGGCTGTTCTGTGATCTGCCCCCATCCCCTGTAGTCCTGACAGCAGTCAGATTGCACAAGCAGGCGGTGGCTGGACCAGCACACATGATCCTGCCTGCTGTCCTCATCCTGCAGGGAAATGACCCAGACTTGGCCCTCAGGGAAACATAGTGCTTCTGAGAGGCAGGCTCTCTGGACCAATTTTTTCTTCCTTCTTTCCTTTCTTCCTTCCTTCCTCCCCTTCCTTTCCTCCTCCTTTTCTTTTCTTTCTCTCTCTCTCCTCTTTTTGAGTTGGGGTCTCACTCTGTCACCCAAGCTGGAGTGCAGTGGCACAACCACAGCTCACAACAGCCTTGACCTCCTGGGCTCAAGTGATCCTTCCACCTCAGCCTCCCGAGTAGCTGAGATTGCTATGTTGCCCAGGCTGGACTCAAACTCCTGGACTCAAGAGATCCTCCCAACTCGGCCTCCCAAAGTGCTAGGATTACAGATGTGAGCCACCGTGCCTGACCAGAACCATTTTAATTATCCTGTACCCTTCACTAAATCATCGCTTGCTCCACTGGGAACTCTGAGGGCTTCTGACAACTGACACTTGGTCTCAAGCAGGCTCACCCTCCCTCTCTTGCTCCCTACCTTTCTTTCCTCTTGTAGAACCCACCTTTGGCCTGGCTGGATGATGGGGAAGCCAGTGGCAACAAAGACTCCAGGAGGGTCTCAGAGGGACAGACTGCCCAGACTTCCTGGAAAGGGATTTTTTGAGTTGGCATCTCACACTGTCACCCAGGCTGGAGTGCAGTGGCATGCTCACAGCCACCGCAACCTCGACCTGCTGGGCTCAGGTGATCCTTCCCCCTCAGCCTTCCAAGTAGCTGGAACTACAGGCACACGCCACCATGACTGGCTAATTTTTTGATTTTTTTGTAGAGATGAGGTCTCACCAAGTTGCCCAGGCTGGTCTCAAACCCATGGACTCAGGCAACCCTCTTGCCTCTGCCTCCCAAAGTGCTGAGATTACAGGTGTGAGCCACTGCACCCGGCTTGGAGAGAGTTTGAAATCCGCCATGGCTTACCAGTTGGGAGATGTTGGCCTCGGGTTCCTCATCTGCAAAGTGGATGATGCTAGGAACCCATCCTGGAACCCACCTGCTCAACCTCTGCTCATACCTTTCTCTAGTCCAAAGTACCTTTGTCTCAGGTTGATGGCCTCCTCAACCTCCTTGGCCTGCTCGGCCTCCTCCTCCGTCTTACGTTGACAGCTACGTGGTTCCTTCTCCCTGTTCTCCACACTGCAGCAGGGCACTTGTTTGTGAAATTAAAACTCATGACTTTCTGTTGCTGTTTAGTTTTGTTTGTTTTTTGAGTCGAAGAGTCTCATTCTGTTGCCCAGGCTGGAATGCCATGGCATGCGTGCAGCCACTGTAGACTCGACCTGCTGGGCTCAGGTGATCCTTCCACCTCAGCCTCCCAAGTGGCTGGAACTACAGGCATGCACCACCATGCCTGGCTAATATTTTGATTTATTGTAGAGATGAGGTCTCGCCAAGTTGCCCAGGCTGGGCTCAGGCAATCCTCTTTCCTCTACCTCCTAAAGTGCTGGGATTACAGGTGAGCCACTGTGCTGGGCATTTATTTTATTTTATTTTTTTTTTGAGTCAGGGTCTCAAGGGTCTGTTGCCTAGGCTGGAGTTCAGTGGCACAATCATGGCTCACTGTAGCTTTGACCTCCTGGGTTGAGGTAATCCTTCTGCCTCTGCCTCCCAGGTAGCTGGGACTATAGGTGTATGCCACCATGCCCAGCTAATTTTTGATGTCTTTTGCTTTTAATGTTAAAGGAAGACATGAATCTCTAACCTGTGTGCCTTCCGGACCCTGCCAGCCTCTTCTGTGTTCTGGTCTAACTAGTCACTTTTTGTGTCCTTGGTTGACTGCTCCACTGCTTTGGGTCCTTGGCATCTGCTGCTCCTGGGACTGGGGCCATGTCCTTTTCCTCACCCGCTTACCTCCAACTTAACTCTAAGACCACAGCACCTTCTGCGATGCCCTCAGTCTGGGTCACACCCCCAGTGATGGGCTTCCATAGCTTCGTGAGTTTCTATTTCTCGTCACTGAATGCCCTAGGCACTTCTCCTTCCCGGGTCGTCTTTTGCCTGTTGTCTGTCTACTCCTGCCTGAAAGTTTCACAAGGCGAGGGCCTGTGTATCTATTCACCACTCTTAGCCTCAGAGCTTAGTCCAGGACCTAGCATAAGCAAGCTCTTTTTCTTTTCTTTCTTGAGTCAGGGGTCTTACTCTCTTGCCCAGGCTGGAGTGTCGTGGTGTGATCTTGGCTCACCGCACTTTCGACCTCCTGGCTCAAGTGATCCTCTCACCTCAGCCTCCAGAGTAGCTGGGATTACAGGAATGCACCACCATGCCTAGCTAATGTTTTGATTTTTTTTTTTTTTGTAAAGACAAGGTCTCTCTATGCTTTCCAGCCTGGTTTTAAACTCCTGGACTCAATGATCCTCTTGCCTCAGCCTCCAAAAGTGCTGGGATTACAGGTGTGAGCTATTGTGCCTGACTGAGGCAAACACTTGATAAAATGTTGTTGAACAAATGAAAGGTGAGGATGAAATAAAATATTGCACTCAGAGCCCTTAGCACTGTGCCTGGCACCAAGTTAGCACCAATAGACATTCGAAACTAACGATATTGTTGTTATTCTAACTGCAGGAATAATGTAAAACAAAAATTCATTCAAACCAACAAACTGATCCAGTCTGGAAGAAAATATGAAAACACACACACACACACACACACACACACACACACACACACACACACACTTCCCCATGTGGTGTGCTTCCCTTCGATTTTCTGCCAGGAGCATTCCAGGAGTGCTGGAGGGACACACCTATGCATAGGAAGGCCTGAGCGTTCCCACCACCCACCCACACTGGGTCCAGAACCTCCTGAGCAGATGCAGGCAGAGCTGGCTCCAGAATTATTTGCGCTCTTTGGGAAGCACTGAGGCCCCGCTAACAAAAAACTCCAAATGTTCAAATCCTCGCTCTGCCTCGGTGAGCCTGGGTCACTTTCCTTCTCTCCAGCCATGCTAGCCTAGCCTCTTCCTCATCTCAAAGCATTTCCACGGAAGACCAGTGTCCACAGGAGTTTTAGAGACTTTATTTATGTATAAACAATTTAAACACTTTGCCATAAATTATCTTTGCCTGTCCCTAGTCTTTGCTTAGCAGCAAATTAAAATTAATATAAAAACTCGATGAACAATTCATACATGTATATTACAAAAAAGTTCCTGTACCAAAGTTCTTATTAGACTTTTTTTGTTTTTGTTTTTTTTTTAAATTTTTAAAATTTTTTTTGTTTTTATTTTTATTTTTTTTAAATTTTCTCTCCTCGTGGTGACTGTCATGTGATTGTCTCAGTTTCTGGACCAAACAAACACACTAATAATTTTAAATCTGAAACAGTGATTGTGCCTTGCGGCTTATGTATGTACAGGGTGATCGGAAGTGGTACCTGTTGGCAAAAGAGTGTCACGATGCTGCACCTCTACCGAAACTGATACCCACGAACTACGGAATCTAAACAGACTACACCCTGTAACTGCATATTACTGTCCACAATGGAATCTCCAAAGACAAAAAGTATGAAATTTATCTGTAGTGATTATAGCCACCATTTTGAATTAAATTTTACACTCTGCGCTCAAATAAATTAGCTCAGGCCAGACTTAGTTGGGTCCTGAGAGTTTTAAGTGCTGGACGGTATTATTTCGCTTTGATTTTTGATAGGAATTTTTCTGTTCCTCGTGTTTCTTTCTTTCTTTTTTCTTTAAAAAGTATTTCCAGTGCTCACTCCTCCACTTTTAATCCCCCCCTCCCCAGGCGCTACACATGTCACCCCCAAAAGTTGTGTTTTCAATGCACCTGCATTTGCTTGAATGAAAACGTCTGAAGTCTTTGTCCCACAAGCAGTCTGAATCGTCCTCAGCTGGTCTGCTGAGGCGGGCCCTCGCGGATGTCTGCGTGTCGTGTCGCTCACGTGTGAATGAGTGAGGTAACTGGACATGAGGCCTTCTCGTCTTCATTTCTTTGTTTTTCGGTCCGTGTGTTTGTTTTTCTTTTGTTGGCTTGCTGTTGGTTTGTTTTCTTGTTTGCCTTTTAACATTTTTTGTTGTTGCTGTTTTTCTTTCGTTCCTTTCGGACATCTTGCGTCTCTTTTCTGCGTAGACCCAGAACAAGTGGGTCGTATTTTAGGGGAACTTGGAACGTTTTGTGTGTTTGTTCACTCATCCATTCATTCGTTTGTTTTGTTTTCCTCAGAATTTTCAGCCGGGCTTTAGTCTACTTCAGGATGAGGGACTTCTCGCGTGGACAGTAGCATTTGAACTCAAAAAATGTGAGCTTCCTTGCCACTAGTATCCTGAAGCAGCCCAGCCTCAGTGCCCCGATAGGTCTTCATCTCCTTAGGAGAGGAGATAACAGTTACTCCTGCCGAGCCATCCGGACAAGGAATGGCAGCAGATAATTTTGTTACCTCTTTCCCATCTCGTTCTGTCTTAAGAACTGGATGTTGCTGCTACTGTCTGCAAGCTCTGGGTACTGCTCCACAGGGAGCACGTAATACCCCTCGTACCCCTGCACGCGCCCGCTGCTCAGGAGCTGCTGCTTCTCGCCCTCAGTCCACAGGCGGCTCCCTTCTCTCCCGTCCCTGGCTTTCTGCTGCTCCTTGGCCCAGGCAGTGCCCAGGGCCCGCTGCCTCGCCTGGTCCAGGACGCGGGCCTTCTCTTCGTCCAGGGTGTCGGGGGTGAGGCCGTAGCGGATGCTGAGGAGCAGCGTGGAGTACTGGAATTCAATGTTTGTGAACCTTCGAGTCCTGCCGTTGACCAGCAGCGTGGGCTGGGACACGGTCACGTTCACCCCGCTCTCCAGCACCTTGCGGCCGATGGTGGTGCCCAGCGTGACCAGGTCGCCGTCGGCCGCACCAATCTTCACGAAGTAGTGGGTGTCCTTGCCCTCGATGCTGTAGTGCATCTTGTCCAGGTAGTAGGCGTTGTTCAGCACGGATGCCACCTTGCGGCTGTCCTCGCTGGCGATGCTGGACACGCCCGTGGTCACCCGCCCTTCTTTGATGGCGAACATGATACCTTTGCCGATGATGGGCGTGGTGGTGGCAAACCAGTGCCCTGCTTTCTCCCGGATGCTGGCGTGGAGCTTTTTAGTAATGACCTGCCCTTCAAGAGCCATGAAGGCCTGATTATGTCTCTCTGTCGTCTGCTGGACACCTGTAATGAGCTGTGGGCACAAGAAAACAGAGAGCTGAGGAGGTAGGCTGGGTGGCTTGTGCAGAATCAGAAAGAGAAAGGCTTGCAACTCCCTGTAAGAACAAGTGTTGGGTCTGCACAGATACGGATGGATACAGTCCTACCTTGTGGAGCTATGGCTGACTGGCTGGTTACCAGCGCTCTGACAGTGTGGCCTGTCTACTAACTAAAAAGATGGTGCAGGAGGTTCACCACCTTGCCAGCATGGATGCTTAGGCCTGTGCATTTACTACGTCTCACCACGGCTGGAGGAGGGCTTTCCTATGCACCCGGATGGCTTGGCAGCTTCTCTGCCCACTTCAAACCCAGGAATGTCCTGACCAGAAGGGCAAGCTGTAGATCTGAACCACGGTAAACCCCACCCTCCTGTAACCTAGCTTTCTTGGAGGCCAATGACCTGGATATTCATTTACTTCCTTGGGTTTAGACCTTGCTACTCAAAGTATGGCCAGGAGCAGAGAAATCACTGGGACCCTCCTTGTTTCAGAAGCAGAATCTCAGGCCTCACTCCAGAACCACTGAGTTCAAAGCTGCATGCTAACAAGATTCCCTAGGCTGTTTGTGTGCACAGGGACACTGAAGAACCAGGCTAAGAGACTCAGGCTTCAGGGGCCAGAGGGAATATCCCTCAGCTTGGAGTCAGTTGCTTTGGATTCCAGCCCTGGTTCTGCGGAAGGACGGAATCACCATTATCTCCTTGGCCTTGAGTCCTCCACTCGCAAATTACAACTTGTCTCAATTGGTGGTTGGGGGCCAGGCTGCGATAATGAGAGAGGCTGCGTTTGGGAGGTAACGGCACTTAGATAAATGAGAGAAATGATGGCTATTCAACCGCTGAGTGGTCCCCAAGGAGCAGGGCTGAGCGATGGCCGTTCTCAACTACCCAGCAGCGCCTGCTTGCTTCTCTATACTTACACAATCTGGACGATTATTCAGAGCATCTGGGACCTCTCAGACTCCAAGAGCGCCCGGTGCCGGTTGTGCAGCGGGGGTTCTCTGAACCTCGGTGCCCATCCCTCCCCTCCCACTGTAGCAGGGGTCTCAGCTGCACCCAGATGGAAACTGACCACCCCTCGGTCGTCACCAAAAGACTCAAGCACAGATTATGTTCTGAAAACTCAATCTGTATATGTTTGGGCCATAAAGCACCGAGGTTTTATGTGAGGCATAAAAATGTTCTTTAATGGGACAGAAACTGCAAACCACAGTTTTATGACGTCCCATAAAAGCCGAAAGGGTTATGATCTTATAGTCAGTGCAGATGGTAGGTTGCTGCTGGATTTCTCTGTGCTGTTGTTAATCAATGAGTGACTCAAGGGTATTATCCTGAACAGATAATGATACCACAATTAAGGTCATAATCGAGCTTGGAAAGAAATATGTGCCGTGCCTGGGCAGGTGACAGCACTGACATCCGCTGTCCTGGGCAGTCTCAGTGTTTCTCACACCTTTTATACCCAGCTTCACATGTCCCTTGACTGCTGTGCCCTTGGCTCCTGGGAGGTTCTGTCTGCAGAGGGGAAGGATGCCAGTCCTTGAGATTCTCGGCAGGAGCCTCTGCTTACCTGTCCGTTCTCACTTGCTTGGCTCTCTGACAGTTCATACGGAGGAGACACGAAATACATTTTGGCTCTTGGGAAGCCAGGAATTATGTTGCTAAGCTGAAATCCAAACATCACAAGCCAGCTTTTCACATCTATGGGGGAAACAAAAATAAAGACCTCTGAAATCATGATGGATGGAAAGTAGCCACGAATCTTGGAATGAGAACAAAATAAAATGAGTGGCTGGGTATGTAGGGTCTATCGGGAGAGGGAGGTAAGCACTTGTGAAAGCCAGACCCAAGGCTTCCTCTTTACAGGAGTTTTAGGAAGCAGATATCTTTCCAAACTTGGTCAGTTGATAACCATCATGTAGTGATTAAGAAGGGCCGTGTGGGAACAAGAAAGATCTAGCTTCAACCCTCCCTGACTGTGTGACCTCGGGCAATTTCCTGCCCCTCTGAGCCTCACATTCCTCAGATCCAAACTGGGTAATAACTGTGTCAGTCTTATTGGGTTGTTGCGAGAACCAAAGGAGAAAATCCACATAAAAGGCTTTTTCCAGAGATGGCACATGGATCATTCAATATATATATATACATACACACACTCCTTTATTTGGCAGTGTTTTAGAGAGCATCTATTATGAACCAGGTGATGTATTAGAAACTAGAGATACAAAGATCGGCTAGAGGCATGAGTGGTGATTAGGATCACTGTGTAGGACGTTTGGACCCGGGGTGCCACACCAAGGCCGGCTCACCACGGAAAGGGGCTTTCAAGAGCTGGACCCAGATGGAATGCACAGTCCTCGGGACCCTGAAACACATTTATTTCTTCAAAGAGAGGCCAACAGAGGGCACTGACTGCTCGGAGTAAGACATCCTGCCAGGGGTCAAGGTTGAGTCCTATACTGCCTGCCCCAAGTGTCTTGCCCTTTGTGGAATCGTTGGGACTCCCAGAATGAGACTCCTTCCAAAGAGACCGACAGAGAGTTCTGGACACATGTCCCTTGAGTGCGCACATCTTCACTGATACCACCGACCTGGAGTCCAGCAGGACTAACCTCACTGTGCTCCTCACCTGTCTATAATGGGGACCCCAAGATCACGTCTCACACCCTGTCTCTGCTCCCTTCCCTGTCCTATTTCTACCTCTCCTCAATTCCCAAGGTACTTCCACTGGGCCCCTGAAATGTCCACTCGTCCTCAGAAGCCCTCCAGGTCTTCAGTCTCTTCTCTGATGATTCCTGTCCCTTCTTGTTGTCACTGATACTCTCTCTCCCTGAGAGCAACAGTCTCCCTGCTGCTTCTCCTACAATCATTGGACCTGGAGGTATGAGTGTACCTGTCACCATAATTACTGACCCCCCACACTCACCTGCCTTTCCTGAAGCTTTTGGCTTCTGCTCCACTGCCATTCTCTCCAGCTCTGTCCCTGAATTAATTCTTTTTTTTTTTTTGAGTCAGAGTCTCACTCTGTCGCCCAGACTGGAGTGCAGTGGCCACTCCCGGCTACCGCAGCCTCACCTGCTGGGCTCTGGTGATCCTTCTGCCTCAGCCTTCCGAGTAGCCAGAATTACAGGCGTGCGCTACCACGCCTGGCTGATTTTTTGATTTATTGTAGAGATGAGGTCTCGCTGCCAGGCGGGTCTCGAACCGCAGGCTCAGGCAATCCACTCACCTCAGCCTCCCAAAGGCGCGGGATTACAGGCTGAGCCACCGAGCCCGGCAATTCTTAATGATTTTATTATACAATTAGTCGATCCTTCCAATATCCTGGCCTCTTGATTTTTTTGACCTCTCCTTTTATTTTTATTTATTTTTTTGGTAGAGATAGGGTCTCGCTATGTTGCCCAGGCAGGTCTCGAGCACCCAGCCTCAAGCAATCTTCCCACCTCAGCCGCCCAAAGCGCTGGGATTACAGGTGCAAGGCACCATACCTGACTGACATTCTCTCCTTTGGTGATCCTTCCACATTTGCTTTCATGCTCACACTCTGAACCTTGTCACCACCGATCATTCTGAACCTTGTCATCTCAATTTCAGGCATATCACCCTCTGACCACTTCCTCAAGTCTCTCTAGCTTATTACTTCTCATGACTGGACACCTACAATCCTTTCATCTTGCTCCACCCTGCCCCCAGGACCTTCAATTCATCCTAACACCTTCCCCCTGCCTCCGGTTTCCTGGATTTCCTTCTCTTCTTACCTGTCACACAATTATTGGTATCATTCCCTGGGAGATCTTCTCAGATACTCAAACCTCTCTCACTCCACACTTGCTCAGTGAAATCACAGTGTTGGCTACACAGGTTTGCCTATTTCATGTTTGCTCCTGTTCAGCTGAATGTGACTGGAGAATAAAATCATAACCACACTGCCTGGTGTCACTTTATTTATTGATTGAGTCACAGTCTCACTCTGTCGCCCAGGCTGGAGTACAGTGGCATGCTCATGGTCACTGCAGCCTCGACCTGCTGGGTTCAGGTGATCTTTCTGCCTCAGGCTTCCAAGTAGCTGGGACTACAGGCGTGAGCCACCATACCTGGCTAATTTTTTTATTTATTGTAGAGACGAGGTCTTGCCGTGTTGCCCAGGTTGGTCTCAAATCCCCTGGGCTCAGGCAACCCTCTCGCTTCCGCCTCCCAAAGTGTGGGGTTACAGGCGTGAGCCACCACACCCGGCACTTAATTTTTTTTTTGAGTCAGAGTACAGCTGTGTCATCCAGGCTGGAGTGCAGTGACACGATCACAGCTCATCGCAGCCTCAACTTTCTTGGCTCAGGTGATCATTCTACCTCAGCCTTCCAAGTAGCTGGAACTACAAGCATATGCCATCACACCTGGCTAATTATTTTATTTTATTTTTGTAGAATGAGGTTTTGCTGTGTTGCCCAGACTGGTCTCGAACTCCTGGACTCAAGCGATCCTCCTGCCTTGGACTCTCCAAGTGCTGAGATTACAGGTATGATCCACTATGCCCGGTCTCTGGCGTTACTTTAAACTCCTGATCACAGACCTCAGGTATGCCTTCCTGCTGCCTGGCGATCTTAAAGCACTTCCTTGACTCCATTCAGGCTTTCTCGCATTCTCCTGGATGACTTGACTTCTTCTCCTAAAGCCCCCAATGCCCTCTTCTCCCAGAAGCCTTGTTTCCTATTCTCCTGAGAAAATGATTTGGCCAGAGGAGAATGTCCCTAGAAATTCGCCGACAGTGACGTGACCCCCAGCATTCGTACCTGTCTCCTATTCCTCTGGCTGAGCTGTCCATGTTCAATCCTCCCCTCCTGCTCTCCATCACACTCCTTCTTGCCAACTCAAGGACATCTCTCCAGCAATTCTCTCTCACCCCACATCATGGATTTACTCTCTGTTTCAACCTCATTTGCATAAAACATTCGTCTAAATGTCCCACCTTAAGTCGGGCTCAGTGGCTCAGCCTGTAATCCTGCGCCTTTGGGAGGCTCAGGTGAGTGGATTGCCTGAGCCCACGGGTTCAAGACCCGCCTGGGCAACTTGGCGAGACCTCATCTCTGCAATAAATAAAAAATTAGCCGGGCGTGGTAGCACACACCTGTAGTTCCAGCTAGTTGGAAGGCTGAGGCGGAAGGATTGCTGGAGCCCAGCAGGTCGAGGCTGCGGTGGCCAGGAGCGGCCACTGCACTCCATTCTGGGTGACAGAGTGAGACTCCAACTCAAAAAAAATAAAAATAAAAAATAAATGTCCCACCTTACAAAGGTTCTTCTCTTGTCTGGACTTCCTTTTGAGACCACCCATTTCTCATTCCCCTTTACAAAAACTTCTCAAACTAGGCCAGGCATGGTGGCTCATGCCTGTAACCCCAGCACTTTGGGAGGCGGAGGCGAGAGGGTTGCCTGAGCCCGGGGGTTTTGAGACCAACCTGGGCAAACAGCGAGACCTTGTCTCTACAATAAATTAAAAAATTAGCAAGGCATGGTGGTGTGTGCCTGTAGTTCCAGCTACTTGGAAGGCTGAGGTGGAAGGATTGCCTGAGCCCAGCAGGTCGAGGCTGCCATGGTCATAAGTGTGCCACTGCATTCCAGCCTGGGTGACAGAGTGAGACTCTGACTCAAAAACAAACAAAAAACAAACAAAAAAACTCCTCAACTAATTATCTATGCTCATCTTCTCCCATTTCCTCCGAATGAGGCTCTTCTCTCATTACAACACTGAAACAGCCCTCATCAAAGTCACAAGTGACCTCTATGTTGCTAAGCCCAATGTTGAACTTAGTTCTCATCTTATTTGACCTATCAGAAGCATTTGACAAGTGGAACTCTCCTGTCTTTTTCTCCTTTGCTTTCTGGATAACATATTCTCTTGTTTTTTTTTTTTCTTCCACATTAGTAGCTGCCACTTCCCAGTTTTTGGTTCCTTTCCATCTCCCTAATCTGTTTTTTTTTTTTAAATAAATCTTTTGAGTCAGGGTCTCATTCTGTCACTCAGACTGAAGTGCAGTGGCACAGTCATGGCTCACTGCAGCCTCCATCTCCTGGGCTCAGGTGATCCTTCCACCAAACCTTTCAAGTAGCTGGGTCTAACGGTGCATGCCACCACTCCAGGGTAATTTTTCTTTTTTTCTTTTTGGTAGAGATAAAGTCTTGCTGTGTTGTCCAGGCTGGTGCCGAATCTCTTAATGTTGGGATGCCCCAGACTTAGTCCATGAGCTGCTTCTCCAGCCTCCAGCCTCAGGACCCAATGCTATCAGCACGCTGATGCTGACTCCAAAAATTTGTATCTCCAGCCTGGACCTCTCCCTGAGCTCTGAACTTGCATGTCCAAGTACATTTCACATGTAACACATCTAATCCTGAACTCCTAATCTTCCTCTCCAAGCCTGCCCCGCCCACAGTCTTCTCCATCTTGGGGAATGGCAGGTCCATCCTTCCACTTTTCACTCCCCACATCTCATCCATTAGTGAATCCCTTTCTTTTCTTACACTTAAGGTGAAATTCACATAATATGAAATTCACCATTTTAAAGTGCACACCTCAGTGGTTTCTAGTACATTCACAACGTTGTACAACCATCATTACTATCTGACCCCAGAACATTTTCATCACCCCCAAAAGAAACCTCACTCTGGAAGTCACTCTGGGCATACAGCAGGCACTCCTGCTGCCATCCTTC